CCGCAGTTTGCAGGGGGATGCCGGGGCTGTGCCGGCTCTCGCACAGGAGCCAGAGCTGTAATCATACCCCAGCTCCTGCTGGGCTACACAGAGACAAATTAATGGGAGATAGATTGCTACCTGCAGCCCATCCGTAACCAGGGGGGTAGGAGGCAATAGAGCACTGCAAGGGAGCCATAACCTGAATTTCCCTCTGCTCTCAGCCCCTTTTTAGGGCAGAGAGACCTGAGCGCTGATACCTCACTGCTGCCTACACTGGGGGTACCCCACAGCCCCAAACAGAATCACAGACCCCAGCTTGAGCTTTTTTTGAAGTTAATACTGGTGGTAGCTGCCCCAAGGAGCCCCACAGCCCAGAGGTGCTGGAGAACAAACTGTTCCCCAGTAGGAAACAGGTTGAACTCAGTCTTGAAGGTCTTTTCCAACCCTAATGGTTCTATAAGAAACCAACCTGAGCTGGTGGGAACTGGTTCTGCTGGAGATTCTATATGGACACTTCTTCTATCACAGGACAAATCCTTCCCAGCATGAAGACACAAGGAAAGAATATAAAAGTGGTGCCCCTGTAGCTATCTCCCTGGGGACTGAAGGCTCCAAAGACAGATCCTGACTGTACAGCAAGAGCACATCTTAGGTGGAAGGACAGCAACAAGAACCAAATCCCCCTGTAACCTCATTAACCTTTCAAGGAAGGGTTAAATTTCAGCATAGACAGCAGTGCAGCAAGACAATTTTAATGTCACAGGCATGGACAGATTCCATTCTGCGATGGATCTGTTGCATAAGCAGCCGTGCAGGGCCAGATCCTGCTGCCTGGAAGTGCCAGTGGGATTGGAGCAGTGCTCTGGGCAGAGCCCCAAGAGCCGCTGCCTGCACCCATCCTCCCTGCTCCAGCAGCAGGAAAAGCGCTGCCCTGGCTGCAGAGCCACACACAAACCCCACAGGCTGAGCTCTGCTCTGAAATATTTACGTGCTTTTGAATTATACAGTTCAAAAAGCGGGTGGAAAAAAAGCACTCGCAAGTCAAGTTTTTATCCTTTTGCAACAGAACTTAGCAATCAAATTGATTGCACCTTTCAAGCTGGTGTAAACCTCCTTCCTGAGCAAAGTCCTTTGCATCCACTTTAGCCAAGCACCTTTTTGCAGCAGCTGATATAGAAACCTTTGAAAATAAGTTTGAGGGGAGACTGACAGCCTTGAAACCTCAAGAGCAGCATGGCATTGACGGGCGCGGCTCCCTGAGCTGAGTATTATAGATAGATTTTAATTTCATTTTAACAAAATAGCTGTCTCCAGTGGAAGAAGCATCAAGAGCTAAATGAGGACCCGTCTTGAGCTGAATCACGTTGAACAGACCTCGGCACTGTCATTGATTTTCTGGGAAGAAAAAAAATGCCTCTGGCTACTAAACCAAATTAGTAGTCACTGATGACCAATTATTTTGCCCCACTGTGGACGGGAAGGCGTACTAAAATTCCAGTTTGTCAGACCCAAGGCTCTCTTCTCAAACGCCTTTCAACAAGCGTGTACCAAAAATCTCTCAGATGGTTCTGACGCCTTCCTGTTTTCGGCAACTTCTCCTTCTCCAAAGTTTTAATGAGCTGCTACTCCGAGGACAGCCTGCCACAAAGTGAGCCCTTCCCTGCATGCTGGAGCACTATTTGGCATCGGCACAAATCACAGCTGTCAGGATTTATACACACGTACACAAAAAAGTGTCAGCCTAATGTTTGCAAATTATAATTACCATTTCTCTTGCATGTCCCTGGTGCCTTCATTTTAGATAAATCCCAGCTCTGAGGTATCAGCTGCAAAGCACTGAAGGGCTCATATTGAATGGAATAGATTTAACTAGTTTGTAGCTCATTTAAGGCCTACACTGTTTTATTTTAATATTGTTAATACTTTATTATACTTTTAAACACTGTTTTTACACTAAAATAGCCTATTAGGAGGCTGCAGATCCTTTTCCAGGGGATGCCTGGCAGACTAGAATTCCACATTGTATAACCAAGTTAGCAGGTGCTTGTCATTTCAGTTGAAAATAGGTCTGTACCCTGACTCTTGAAAGTAAATTAGAGAGATTCTATTAAAGAGACAGGAACTGTTTCAGAGATAATAGTTTTGAAAATGTGCACAGATAAATTTTAAAATATTTAGGAAATGTCAGCATTAGAAGTAGCTCCAACTATTTGACTATAAAAGGAAGCAGATGAGTATTCTTTCCCCTACAATTATAAATAATTTGTTACATCCTATCAGAACTTCTTTGCCTTTCCTTTCTGTGGCAGGGTGCTTGTGCCAAAACAAGGAGATCTGAGTAACTGTGAATGAGATGGGTTTTAATGTGCAATAAGCATTTCCAGAGGATGCTTCCCCTGCTCTCCCTGCAGCATCTGCAGACAGCAAAATCCTCCCTGTTCAGGAGCGACATCTGGGCAGGGTGACAAAAGGAAAAGGAACACACAAGCCATTGATCCCTGTCCTTAAGTAACACTAAGGCAAGAGGACATTTTCCCAAAGGCCAGCTGCAAGTCAGGGCTGTCACATTGCCAAGCAGCAGCAATACCGGGGCCAAATTCCCCGTCCCTCTGCTGAGATCAGCCTTTGACCTACAAAGGAAAATCCACCTCGCTGAGATCTCTCCAGTCACCTCGAAGAGGTGTTCCCTGCTGTCCCTTGCTCTTGCCCACTCTCTCTTCAGCCAGGTGAAGCCTCACACCCTACAGCTCACCAGGGCTTATGTATAACCGAGCACACGAGTCCTTCCCACCGATTGGAGAGAGGCAGTTCATGCGTGCATCATTCCAGGCATGATTCTATACTTTGCTGGATCAGGACTTAAATGTGATTAATCACACGGCAGGGAAGGATCTCTGAAGAGCATCAACCCAAATGTGTCCTTTCAAGCATTTACTTACAAGCCAGCTGTGGACTATCAGTCACCAACTGCCTGGTCCACTGGAGATGGTAAAAGTCACCTCCATAGAGATGGGAAAACACATTCAACTTCAAAAAAAAAAAAGAAAAAAAGCCCGAAAAATCAATAATCAAAGGCTACACACAAAGGCTTAGTGCTTTCCTGTGTCCCTCCCTGCACACCAGGAAAGCTCCTGCCTTGGAGAGCAAAGGGACAGCAGAAAACGAGCAATGCTCACCATGTGCTTGTGTCAGGAATACCAACATGTACACCACACTACAAAATTGGAGACCCAAACAGATAATAACACACTTTACCACTGGTTTGCCACATCTTTTAACCTTTTAAATATTTTGCCCAGCTCTGATCAGCATGAAATGCCAAACTGGATGGGAAGGAGGGGAAAGAAGAGGGGACAAAGGGTAAATGTCAGCGCTGCCTTTGGCACTGGGTGTCTCCAGATAATGGTCTGGAGCAGCAGAGCTGATTTGCAAGCAAAGGCTTGAAAAGCCCTGCAGCATGTGATCTATGAAACAGGAGGCCTGCAGAAGGATGTCTCCTCTGATATGAATGTCCCCTTGGGATGGATATTGCTGGATTGCACATCCAGCATCATTAGAAAACACAACCATAGATTAGGCTGTTTTGAAGCATGTGGTGTGCAATAATTAAGTAATAAAAGTCACCACGGGGGTGAAGGAACAAGAAACAGAAGAGTTACTATTTGCATACAGGCTGCTGGCGCCCTCCGTGATCATCAAGGATTCTCCAGGCTGCTAAAAGCTGGCAGCTGTCAATTCTGGACCCACTCCTGCCACAACCATGAAGGACCAGCTCACTCTGTGGCATGTGGGCTCTTTGCAGAAACAGGTGGAGCTGGTGGCCCAGAAGCAGCCCAGCAGCTGCCCCACGTCCCCAGTGTCCTGCAGTGGGTTTGCACAGGCAGGAACAGCGCTGGCTCTGCTGTGGGAGCTGCAGCTGAGGGCTCTGCAGGCTACAGGTGGGAGCAGAGCTAGAGGTGAGAGCTCCACAGTCATCAGCTGCTGCCAAGATGGGAAAAGTCCCTCCTTAGCAAGGTGTGCAAGGACAAGGACCAATAAAACTTCAGCTTGAGGTCCTTCGTCACCTTCAAGTGTTTGCTTCTGGGGGAAAGGAATAGAAACAGAATTAAGGGAATTACTGATTTGCTGTCCCTGCCACTGCCAGGTCTGCTTCCCTTCGTGGCTGATGAAGTACCCTCACTTGCAAGGGGCAAGGCTCAACAATTTCAGGCTACAGCTTTGCCACAGGCTGGTCAGGTTAAGCCACCTCAGAGCAGCTGAATGGGACACTGGACAACAAGCAACTGCCTTTTTAAGTCTTTTTCTAGAACCTGGGTCGTGTGCAGCTCCTCCCCTCTGCTGTCTCCTCCTTGCACCTGAAATCCTCTTTCAAGGGGCAAATACACCTGCTCTGTGCAGCTGAGGCACCAGACCAGGGCTCAGCATTTCAGCTCCCCTTTCTGCTGCAGAGCCCTGACCTCTGCATTGGGTCCATTTTTAGCCCTATTCAGGCTGCTTAGGACAGCACTTCCTCCTCTCACCCCATCCATCATTGCACATTTGCAGCTTTGGTGCACCACACCAGAGGGATTTTAACAGCCAAAGCTATTTTAGCAAAACACACTTGGCACCCAGGGGTTCTTCCCCTTCAGGGAATCCAGCCAGAGCTACTCCACTGGGTACCAGTGGGAAATGCTCACCTGAAGCTCTAGCAGGGCCCAAATTTGAGCTGCACTCTGTGGTGCCCCGTGCTCCTTCCAGCACACCAGGGCTCACACAGAGCTGCAGAAAGCTGCCCTGTAAAAGGCTGTACAATTGTCCCAGTTCTGGGGAATGCCCTGGCACAGGTTAGCACAGGTGTGTGCAGGCTGGGGTGTGCTCACTGCAAATGATTGTGGGTTTGAGGCTTCCTGAGGAGGAGAAAGCCTTTCCCAGTGTGAGGCTTTATCCATGTTCTCACCAGTCACTTTTGAGGAGCAGAGATGTGAGCCAGCACAAGGAGGCAAAGATTACATTGGTGCCTTTTCAATGTTTTCCAGGCCTTCCACTCCCTTTTTTGACCTCATGCAACACAGATACAAGGAACTGTGGATGGAGGAGCAGAGAGCCCGGACTGTAGTCCAGCACGTGGTGAAGAAAAAGGTGGGAATAGTCCAGCAAAGCTTTCCCCTGCTGTGCACAGCACTACTGGGCACAACCCCCCACTGTCCTACCCCACAAGGGACAAATGGGCTGCTCCCAGCCCTGGGAAGGGCTCTCAGCTGGGAAAACATCCCCCTGACTACTACAAGGCTGATGAAGCCTAACACAGATGAGCATCCCCCTGCCAGGAGCCCACAGGCTGTCCTTTGGACATCAGCTCTGCTCAGGTTACTGTGACAGTGGCCACAATAAAGGAACAGTCAGCAAATACTGAAAGGACAGCCCCAGCCCTGAGCCTGGCATGGGGTGGTAATGCAGCACCCACAGCAGCTGTTGGAGTGTAAGGCTGTGCTGTTAAACACACCAACATTGTAATATCATTTAAAAGCAGCCAATGACTGTTTTATTAGTTAATGGTTCAAAGAAGAGTCGGGCTAATATGGTAATGACCAATTTCAATGGGCTTACTGCCATCACAAACTGTGCTTTATAGTTGAAGTGCAGGAATACAGTGTCCTTAATTAGCAGCTATTTTATGAATACACCAGCCTGGGACATTGGAAAGTGCATCCCTACTTTATCTATTAATGACTGATGTTTTTAATCACTAAGTTGCCTCCATCAAGCCACCAATTACTGAGTTAAGCAACACAAACCTGTATCCTAGACCACAGAGCAGACAGATTCTCAGGGTATCCAGGTACCTCACTGGCTTGTGCTGGGATTATCAAGCACTGTGACCTGCAGTTAATCAGGAGAGCCAGGCAGCCTCACCATGGTGGGGGTGCTGGAAGTGACTTTCCCAGTCAGGGATGAGCCATTGCTGTAGCTCAGGGCTTCCAGTGGGCAGCAGTCACCTCCCTGGGATGCTCCATAAAGCAGGCACTGAGAGCTGACAGCTGCTCATGTGTTTTAACTCTCAGTATTGGCTGCATGCACATGGAAAACTCCCCAGATCATGAAAATGTGATCAACAGCCCAGAGCAACTTCTGGCCTCATCCATCCCAGTGTCACTGCATTGCACGATGCAGTGCTGATGTGTGTGACTGTGCAGCAGTTCGAGCCCACTGGTGTGTTTCTCTTTGGGTGCAGACAAGTGAAAAGCAGCAGTTTGAGCCCACTCTTGTTCACTTTTGGCTGCAGACAGGAGAAGAACAGCAGTTTGAGCCCTATTCCTGTCTCTAGTCAGCCCTTTTCCTGAACTCTGGTTCACTTTTGGTTGCAGACAAGAGAAGGGCAGCAGTATGAGCCCACTCTTGTTCACTTCTGGTTGCAGACAAGAGAAGAGGAGCAGTTTGAGCCCCTGGGTTTCTCTTTGGCTGCAGACAGGAGGACGGCAGCAGTTTGAGCCCACTCCTGTTTTTCTTTGGCTGCAGACAGGAGAAGGCAGCAGTTTGAGCCCCCGGGTTTCTCTTTGGGTGCAGACAAGACAAGGGCAGCAGTCTGAGCCCCTGGGTCTCTCTTTGGGTGCAGACAGGAGAAGGCAGCAGTTTGAGTCCACTGGTGTGTTTCTCTTTGGGTGCAGACAAAAGAAGAACAGCAGTTTGAGCCCACTCCTCTTTTTCTTTGGGTGCAGACAAGTGAAGAGCAACAGTTTGAGCCCTATTCCTGTATCTATTCAGTCCTATTCCTGAACTCTGGTTCACTTTTGGTTGCAGACAAGAGAAGGGCAGCAGTCTGAGCACACTCTTGTTCACTTTTGGCTGCAGACAGGAGAAGGCAGCAGTTTGAGCCCCTGGGTCTCTCTTTGGGTGCAGACAAGACAAGGGCAGCAGTTTGAGCCCCTGGGTCTCTCTTTGGGTGCAGACAAGACAAGGGCAGCAGTTTGAGCCCCCGGGTCTCTCTTTGGCTGCAGACAGGAGAAGGGCAGCAGTTTGAGCCCCTGGGTCTCTCTTTGGCTGCAGACAAGACAAGGGCAGCAGTTTGAGCCCCCGGGTCTCTCTTTGCTTGCAGGTGGGTGAGGTGCGTGAGAACCGCACCACGTTCCTGCGCACGCACCCGCTGCCGGTGAAGGAGGAGTCCTTCTGGCACCTACAACGCTTCGAGAAGGTATGGACCCATCCCCTGACCAAAGGCAACTTCTCTGGGCCTCTACAAGCACCTCATGGAAATCAGGGACACCCTCTAACCTTGCCCACATAGAATGAGGTTCTTAACTCAGCTCCCCACGATCCAGACCTTAAAATTATACCAAATATGTTCAACACTCCTTTTGCACATCAGGCTGGGATATTTTTTGTCAGCCATAAGCCCTGAAAGACAGGCAGCAGTTGCCCAGATAACATATTTTTTAACTTTTGTGCACTTTCACAAGCTTCTTGAGCTGAGAAGCATCTTTTTATACCTTGTTGTTAGTGCAGGGGTGGCATTTGCTCTACAAGTGCCCTACACAAACAGGACAGTCACACCTGCATTTTGGGACCCTGCCATTTCATCAGCTCTCACCATAGCTAATTCAAACCACACCAGATGTTTCAAGAAGCTTTTCCAGCCCAGGATTAGCGCTTTCCAGAAAGCCTGCACTCCTGATACCTCTCTAAACTACCTGATTGACAATATTCACCCTGAGACAAAGTAAAGGGTCTGGCCAGGTTAGAGACGTCCGTGACACTTCCTTTAATTGATCCAAATAAGAGCCAAGGTGAAGATTTTTTGTTCTAGTGATGGGATCTAAACATCTCTCTGAATTAATCTGTGCAACCTGCTGTACCCTGGGGTACTTGTTAAAATTCCATTAACTTTGTTTGTGGTATAAATTATATGGAAACTTACTTAGTGAAGAGCTAGGGGAGGTTTTAGGAGAGAAGGGGAAAGAGCTGGACCAGTGGAATGGAAAGGAGACACCAGAAAGTGAAAGCACTGAAACCTGCAGGGAGTTTACATGGCCAAAATCATATTTGGCATTGATAGATATCACTGCAAAGAACTCTCAGCTCTCTGTCCTGGCCCTTCTTCTGGTGGGGTTATTTTTTTTGCCACGCTGTTGATTTCTAACCACAGTTTAAAACAGCGAAGGAGCCCTGTGATTTCCTGAAGGTAATTTACTTGTACAAGTTGGAGAGTTTTGCCCAAGAAATATGCTTTGCACCACCTTGATGTATTCCTCTCCCATCCTGTCTAAGAGTGCCCGATTAGCATATGTCAGTAATCATTTATCCCCACTGCCTGTCAGCTCGGAGCTGCTGCTGCGGCGGCGGCAGCGAGAGAACATGACCGATCGCTGTTAAACAGATTGTGAGAGTCACACGAGATCCTGGGGCAAGCCTCCTCTTTAGAGCTCCTCTCACCCCAGACCTTTCCAGCAAAGTTCATTTTTCAGCCTGGGTTTTGCTTTGTGCTTTCCCTTTTGTTTCATCCATGGCTGTGGTTGGGTTCCCGTCCCAGCCACAGCTCTCAAAACCTTCAAATCTTATCTTCTTCTCTTTCTCCTTTTTCTTCTTCTCCCTTTCCCTTCCTTCTCAGAAGCAGCATCCAGGGAGGAGGGACAGCTCATTTTGCACAGCCTTTGCAGATTTTCCACACTCCTCCTTTCTGATTGCATTACCCTGGGAGGTTTGCCTTTCCCCAGTTGCAGATCTAACAGGCACAGCCCACATTAGAACTTGGATCAAGGAATTTGTTGCTCACTTGACCTTCAGTGCATGGTTTCCTCCATGGAAAAATAACTCCTCTTGAACACCCATAAATGTTTACCCAGTTAAAAGCAGTAACAACCTGAAAGAAGTTAAGTGTTCCCAAAGATATTTGGTGGTTTCCAAACTCTTTTTTAACTACTCCTCTAAAGGTGGGTTCTGCAGAGATGATGGAATGGTTTTGAAAGCCAGATTGACCTAACCCAGGGACTCCAGGAGTCAATGTCAGTCCTTCCTTTACTGAGGTGACAAATGACCAAAACACTGCCTCTAATCCATATAGCACCCTCATCCTACTGTGCAAGAAGAATATGAAAAGCAACCACAAAAATATCACTTCACAGAATGCTTGTTAGCAGACTCCATCTGCATATTCCTACCAGCCTTTGGTGGCTCTGACCAGTACAGAAGATGCTCATGACTTGGGAAATACTCCAGACCCTGGGCAAGAATATTCAGATTCTCCATTGCCTGACCACAGCCTCACTTTAAACTTTATTTCCATGTGATCCAAGCCAGGTGTGAGGTGCAGGAGTGTTATATTCTCAAGCCACTCATCCTTCTGGTCAGTCAGTCACCTCATCATCTGGAATAACATCTTTCAGTCTGAGGGGAGCAACACCCAGCCACTGAAATAGTTATAATCCAAAACAGGGGCAGGAGGAAGGTGAGATTTTGTTCCTTTAGGCCCATAAAAATCATCAAGAAGGATTTTTTTTTATTCCCATTTTGACCCCTTACAGAGAGCTGCAGAAACTGGGCATGGATATCTCTGCTGGCTCTTAAACTGGGCTTTCCATTCAGTCCCTGGCACCATGAAAGCTTGCCCAAGAATTGGAAGAGAAGAAAACAAAGGAGATTTTCCCTCCCCACTAATTGCATCTGCTTGCTCCCTGCATTGCCAGAGCTGCATGACATTACATAGTCATTCAGTCAGTAAAGTATGGACAAATTGACTATATTTTCATTTGGATTTAAGTTTCAGCCCCACTGCTTTAGAATAATGGCCCACACTGTTAAGCTAACTGGGTGATTTGCAGGCTCTCCCACACCGGGTGCTCCCGCTCTCTCTCCTGCTGGTCTCGCTCTGCAGGACTGACCTGGCCCCTGGTCTCCTGGGCCCCCCAGCTCACCAAGACAAGCAGGTCACAGTCCTGTCCTGATGGGCAGTTCATTAGGGAAAGTTGTTGCATTGAAGTGTTTTTTTAAATTTATTTTTCTTTAACTAAACCAAGCAGATGTTAACTCCTTATTCACCTCAGCAAGATGCTTCTACTGCCTTCCTCTTCCTCAGCAACCCCTCAAACAGCCTCTGCACTGACACAATTGCAGGGCTCAAGTTTTTCCAGCATGGCTGGGTTTGCACCAAATTTTAACTTATTTGTAGGTGTGGGACTAAATTCCTTGGGGATTGTACTCTCAGGCACCCAGCATGGACATAAATTATAGAATCATAGAATGGTTTGGGTTGGAAAAGGACCTTGAAAATCATCTTGTTCCAACCCCCCTGCTGTGAGCGAGACATCTTCCACTGGACCAGGTTGCTCAGAGCTCCATCCAGCCTTGCCTGGAACACTTCCAGGGGTGGGGCAGCCACAGCTTCTCTGGTCAGCCCATTTCAATGCCACACCACCCTTATAGGGAAAAAAAAAAAAAAAATCTAGTATCTAATCTACACCTACTCTCTTTCAATTGAATCCATTCTTCTTGTCCTGTCACTCCAGGTTCTTATGAATAGTCTTGGCCCACCTTTCCTGTAAGTTCCTTTCAGGTCACCCCAAAGCCTTCTCTGTTCTAGACAGAACAATCCCAATTCTCTCAGCCTCCAGTCCCCCACATTCAGTGGATGTGTCCTGGTCCTGTGTCAGTCCTCACCTGCTGGCTCAGGCAGAATTGTGTCAGCCAAACTCTGGAAAGGACATTGCTGCCCAAACGCAGGATCTCCACCTGTGCCAGGCTGGGGTGAGGCTCCAGCCACCTCCATCTGAACATCTGATAGCCACAATCCAAACCAGTAAGTCAATGCTGGCCACCCCCAATATATTTCCAGAGCTCTATCAAGTCAAGAAGGATTCAGGCAGCAACAAAGCAGCAACACAGGATAGAATTCACCAACGTGTCAAAACAGCTCCGTGCACCTCCTGTCACTGACACACACCGAGGTTCTTCCTTTGCTCATTAGAGAATCCCAGCTCACAGAGACACTCGGGCAGCTTGTTTACTTGACCAAGCAAGGGGAAGGAAAGAAAATGCAGCAACTTTGGACAAGACTTTTGTCACCGTGCGCTGCCTCCCCGAGCAGATGAAACGCGCGGCGCGCAATGCGCGATATGAATAAGCGATAAGCAATTGACGAGCAAGTGTTCGGGTACCTTGGCAAAAGACTTAATTTGCAACCTGGCACAAAATCAAAGGCTCTGTCAACGGCTGAGCGGCTCTCCTGCGTATGCCTTGCATTACCTGGGAAAGCTCTGTCAGGTAAATTTCCACTGAAAGTAATTAGAGGAATCCCCACTGTATAAACTTTGCAGCAAAAAATTCTGGGCTCCGGAATTTGATTCTCACCAGGGATCCGATATCTGCTCACAGCCTGATCCTTCGTCAGAATTAACAGCTGAGGTTTAACACGTACACACAAAAATGTTCCGCATTTTTTTTTAATGCCTTACCTCTATTTTTGTCTATAGAGCTGAACTGACAAGCACAGCTCATGTAATCTTGCAGCTGTTGTCTTGTCAGAAAAGCCACAGATTCTGCTTAAATAACCTGGGCTTGATACACACAGCACACAGGGCTGGCTGTTGAGGTGCAGCATTGGTTCTCTTGGGTTTGAGGGCAGAAAAACTTCTGGGACATGGAATGTTATAAAACTCCTCTCCTGGGGCCTAAATAGTGCTTAAATAATAAAGCAATGAGTTCAAGAGCTTCCTGGCACCACACTACCAGATCAATCCTCCCTTCAGCTGGGACTTTGGCTGACCAAAAAGAATTAAAATCAGTGTCAGCTGATGGTTGTTCAATGGCCCAAGTGACATGAGCTGGTGGCTCCCAGCCCTGCAGTAACAATCCAAAGCAGCATCACTGGCACAATGCAAAGAGACCACAACACCCTGCAGGGCCCCAAAGAGGCAGCACAGACTCAGCTGCCCTGGGTGTGATCCCTGCACGTCTCCTTGTGCCCTGGACGCTCAACCTCTCATCCCACCCGATGTTGTCCTCTGTCACAGAACATTTTGGCTTGGAAGGAGTCTTTAAGGGCCATCTAGTCCTGTTCCCCTGCAGTGAACAGCGTCATCCTCAACCAGATTGTGTTTCTCAGAGCCTCATCCAAGCTGACATTGAATGTTTCCACAGATGGAGCATCCACCATCTCTCTGGGCAAGTATTTCAACATCCTCATTGTAAAAAACTTTTATATCTTATCTCAATTGACCCTCTCTTTTAAAAACATTACTTGCCATGCTCAGCTTTTCCCTCAGACACAGAGGGACCATCACTCCTGTGCCTTCTCCATTGCTCTGGACATCTCCAGATTAACACAGGAAAGCAGCAGCACCCTCCTGTGCAGATGTACAGCCCAGATCATCTCCAGGCAGGCTCCACCTACAGCCAAGCCCCAGTAGCCAAAGGCAGCACAAGGAACAGTTGGCAACCAATTCCCATTGCTCTCCTGGAGATTCTCACCCACGAAGGAAGAGATTTTGGGTGCTCACAGCTTGTGGCAGGGTGAAACCACACATGCTGTGTTGGGTAATGAGTGAGCAGCTGCCACTGCTGCCAGTGCACAGCTCCATGGAAATGCTTTTAAATGGGTTTGGGATTTCATTCGTGGTGCTGGTCTGACTTCTGCAGAAAACTCTTGCCTGGCATGAAAAGGGTCAGGATTCAGACATCAAGCACATGAGGTCAGTGTGAAAGCTGCCAGCTCTGGTCTGACCCTGAAACATCTGCCAGGGAGGTGGGGGGCACACCCCAGGTTACAGCTCCAGTGCGTTAATTCTTCTTTCCTCATGCTGTTGTCCAGACCAAATGACCAATGAACCCCACCAAATATCTGTGGCATTATTTTCAGAAAGGGAAAAAAAAAAAAACCAAACCAAAAAACTAACCCAAATCTCCATGGGACATTAAATACAGCAGCCCAAAATTGCCAAGCACTGTTTGAAACCTCCCTGGGCTTGAAGCAAATAAAGATCATTTAGCCCAGGCTCCCTTGTCCTGCATTTCCCTCTGTTCTTAGAAAGGTGGGGAGAGAAAAATCAACACTATTCGTTAAGCCAGTTAAGCACGCTCCTGGCAGGAAAAGCCACATTATTTGTAACCCTAATAATCCAACACTCACCTCTGAGCACAGCTCATCTTGGACAGAATAACGTCTGTTTTAAAAGTACCTGCCTCTCTCTAACTTGTCATGGCATTTGTTGACAACCCTATTGAAAGCCGCTCTGGATGCGGCTGTGAAGGATCTTTCAGCACCTCTTTCTCTTTCCTAGACAGTTTTTGAAAGGGAGGGGAGAAAAAGAAAAAAGCCATCAATACAGGGGGAAAAAGGCATCAGCAGCCAACATCGGCTGATGAAGCGCCTCACCTGGGCCCCCAGCACACCGCCTCCAATTAAATCAAAATGGTTTGTTTTTAATGGTCTTTTACACTGACAAGTGGGCTATCATTCCAGGCCTAGAGAGCTGTCAGGGAGCCGAGGCAAATCCTCCGTTGATAATGCCCAATGCTTCCAATTAGGAACCGAGGCCGCTCCTGGCGCACTAACGATTCCCCAGCCTCCCCCAAGGCCCCTTCGGCGTTGGCTTCTTCGTCTTCGCTCTTCCTCCGCCACAAATTACTGACACAAAACGGAGGCGCCCCGGTGCCTCCTCACCACGCCGGGCCCCGGCCCTGTTGGATTTAATGAGGCGATGGAAGTTTTTGCGGATCTTCCGCTAAATTCTTTTCTTGTTTGACAGCTGCTTGAGTGTTGACCTTATAAAAGATTTAGTGTTTCTCATTATTTTCTGTCAAGCTTTACAAGCGGTGGCTTCGCGGAAAATCATTTGCATCTCGATGCGCGCGCGCGGGGTGGGTTTTTTTTTTTTAATATTTTTTATTTTGTCTGTACAGGGATGCTCGGCACGCTGAGCGTCAGTGTGTGCACCCTACCCCTCTCTGTATTGTTTGTTTTCCTCCCTCCCTTCCCTGAAAAATTCCACTGTTTTGTGTTGTTTTGGAGGAAAGAAAAAAGAAAAAAATAAGCGTCAGGATTTGTTAGACTCTTGTAAATGAAGGAGGGTTTGGGAAAGCAAAAAAAAAGAAAATAATAGAGATTGGTTTCCTGTAAAGCGAGCACAGGAAAGTGTTTTGTCACCCGCTAAAAGGATTCGATCAAACGGATGATGGAGGAACCAGGCTGAGTCCCGGTGCAGCTTTGTTGTTAAAGTGAAAAATGGTGCAAGGCTGGGGAGCTGCCTGGGAGCAGGTGGGCAGAGCCAGGCAGGTGCTGGGAGAGGGACAGGGACAGCCACGTCTCCATGGATCCTTCCAGGCCACGAGGAGAGCCTGGTGCTGTTCATTACTTGCTTCAGGCCTTTCCATATGTTCTCTCTCAAGTCACCACAAACCACTAAGTGCAGCTCTAAACTAAAACTACCCCCTCTTAAGCTGAGCTTATTTTGCACCCAAGGGTGCTGACAGTGCCCAGCAGCTACAGCACCCACAAAACCCTGCTCAGTCTCTGGGGTTTGCTGCCATCAGCAGAGCTCTGACTCCCCTGCACCAGCTTGGCCTTTCTGCATCTCACATGCAATTTATCAGCCCTCAATTAACACACCTGCCTTAATGTACCCTCCAATTTAACACATTATTGTAACTGTGAAACTCTAAAGATAACACCCCCCAAATACCTATCGAAGTTTTTTTATGAGTAATTATTTTTCTTGCCCCTCTCATTCTGTGAGGCAAACACTGACACCACAACGTCCCAGCTGCAAGGGTCCTGCAGGTTTTCATTTATCAATAATAAATGAAATGAACAGCAGCAAACATTGCTCCTCAGCAGCAGCTGGAGCCCATGGCAGCTCCATCATCCTGCAAGGAAAACCTTTCAGCTTTTTCCTACAAACCATATTCCTGTCCTGCTGCAGCCAGTGCTCCAAACAAAATCCTGGCATTAACAACCCATAACTGCAGCAGAGTAATGGCAAAGATCATCAGCTGTCTCTAGAGGAGGTACCTTTGGGTTCATCATTTAAAATATTAATTAGAAGAATCAGAGATGAGGCTTCATCACTGGCATTGACTGCTCAACACCAGTCTCTGTCATAAAAAGACCTTTGACCCAAGGACACCCTTATGTGGACTCTAATGACTGGGAGGGTTTCTCATTTTTTAAAACAGCACTTGCCCCTGTCCTACACCTGGTGCTCCCCACTCACTCATGCTGAGGGCAGGAGCTGGCATCCCTCACAACTTCCTCAAGGCTCTGCTCACTTTAATTACTGCCAGTTGGGGCTCAGTGGGACATTTCTCACCCAGGAGCTTTGTACCAAGATTGGAGTGAATAAACTGCTGTTTCCTCTCCCATGGCATCACCCCATCCCAGGCAGAAACATCCCTGTGCCCAGTTCCCAGCCCTGGTGGGTGAGGGAGCATGGCAGGAAGGCAGAGGAACATTCAAGAGAAGCAGCTCAGCTGTCCTTACCTGCAAGCACTGGATTTTTCTAACAATTCCAGCTGCAATTGAAAAACTGCTGCATCTGTAATGGCAGGTTGGAGTTGGAATGACCAGGAATTGTCCCTGCCAGCTCTCTGGGGTTACCCACCTCCTGCAGCAGCCCCTGGTTCTGCCTTCCCCACCTCTCCCTCCCCAGGAGGGGTTATGTCACTGCTGCTATTTGTGAGAAAGCAAAAACATCCAGAAACAGCTGTCTGAAGTTAGGCACTCAAATGCATATTTAAGTACCTGAACGCCTTCCTCCAGAGAGGGGGAATAGCTAAATACGCTTTGTTTGTCTTGATTAATGAGATCACTAGCAAGCTTTTCAGGGCAAAGACTGCTCTGTATTTTTACATATGCAAAACCTGACATCCAGCCAGCCTGAGCAGGGTGGATGGGGGAAGTGGGAGGCAGCTCAGCACAGCCACACGAGGCAGATGGATGGCACAGGGAATTGTGCTGGGGCAGGCAGAGCCCGTGGCCCCCCATGGAAAACACTCCAGCCCCAGTCACGGTTTGCTGTGTTTCTACCCCCAGATTACTTCCCTTTTGTTTATTCTCATGGGCATTTTTTCACCTGTCCTCGCTCAAAGGTGATTCCTGGGGAGTTGCTGCTGCTCCTGTGTTTTTAGGACAGGTCATGTAAGAGCTCCTGACCTCACCAGGGAGCTCTGAGCCCATCCTGGCCCCTCAGTGAAGCACCCAAGTCCAGTGGTGTTGAAAACAACTCATATTTATTTCAGGGCCCACCTTAGAGCATGGCAGCTTTTGAAAATGTCAGACAACAAACACACCATAAAAAAACTACAGAGTCTTGATGCTAGAGCAGGATAAGAATCTCCTGAAGTCAATCAGAAAGCTACTCCTCATTTTAAGCAGGTTAAGTGTTTAACTTCAGCTGGAGACACGTCTCCCAGTCAGGCAGAAGCCCTTGTGCAATCTGCAGTCTCCTCCCTGTCTGTGCTTCAACCTATTTTCTGTGGCTGGCTGCTGGCTGTAACCAATCCTCTCTCTCTGCTCCTTTCCTCGTAGGTTGAGCCTCACCTCAGGACTTTTCCAGACCCTGAATCCCGTAAAAAGGCTCTCAGTGCCTCACGTTGAGGAGTGCCTGTGAGCTGTCCCCTTCCCCAGAGGGCCCTCACAGCAAGGATGGTGCTGGGCACAGCCCTTGGAGCCTGGGATTCCACATGCAATGACTTTCTCTCAGGTTTTACAGAGTTATGCTAACGCAGATATAGCCAAATAAATCACAAATATAAGAGGAACAATTCTGTCTCAGCCTGTTCACTGCTTTGTGTCAGGTGCACACACAGCCTGAACAGCACAAGGCTGGTGATACTCAGGGACAGGGCAGTGCTCACACCAGCACAGCCCCACAGGGAGGCAGGACAGGCTCCTTCCCTGCTGCTTCTGGACAAATAGATTGGATGCAGCCATATCCTAGCTGATATCAAATCTGTAATGTCTCATCAGGCCTCATTTCTTTGCCAAAAAAAGCTTCTCATCAGTGCCTGATTCAGCAGAGCCATTGCCTGTGTGAAGGAATTCAAACACCTGCTTTGAGTGCTCTGCCAAACTGGGGCCTCACCACAGGCAGTGCCTCTGCTTTAAGGTGGCTCCAGCCAGCTCCACGCTCATCTTCCAACAGCTGCTGCTGCTCCAGCCCCTCAGGGCTGAGCTCTTCAAGCACTCACTGAACAAACTCAAACTCTACAAACACCAACTCAACATCATCACAACCCAAACCCACAGGCTCAGTCAGGAACCAGCACATTTGGAATCCATCTTCTCCCAACAGAGCATTTCTCCTCAAATAACACTTAGTTAAAAGTGCCATTATTTAAACTGTGGATCTCCATTATTACTACAGGAATAATTGATATCTCTTACACAGTCTGCTTCTCACATCTACCATTACAGCTCAGAGTTTACCAGCATTTCATGCAAAATTATCTCCTAGTTTTCATATTCACGTTCCCATTAGCACTTGGAGAGCTCAGATGTGTTCACCCCAGAGCTCTGCGAGGTGACATCTGCTGTGCTGGGCAGCCCCAGCTGCATCCTGAGCTCAGGTGGATGTGCCAGCATTATTTTGCCCCCCACACCTTGGCAATGGGATTGTCCCAGTCCTGCATAAAGCCACCAGCAGCCAAAGGCCATGAATAACCCATGCTGAGCTCAGGGCTCATTGCCCCTCAGATTTCCAGCTAAACTTTTAACCCCAAACCTCAAAGATAACATTGCACTGCATTGCTCAAGATGAAACAACAAAGTAAATTGCAAGGGCAGCTTTTCTTACCCCTCAGGACAATGAAGTCTCCCCAGAAGCTGCTTCAACATTTCCCACACCCCCTCTTGTTCTTCAACCTGCCCTTTTATAAGGAAGGAGCTGTAACAAACTCCACCCTGCCCAGACCTGAGCTGAGGGAGGAACAAAATCACCTGCTCCACACCGGGAAAACCCTGGTAGGTGGTTGCCTCTTTTTAGTACAGGCCTCTAAATAAAACCCATCTAAAATAATGAAGGAGATAACAGCAGGGCTTGCCAAGCTGGAAGAGGTGGATTACAACCAGAGACCTTTCCCACCTCCCCAGGGAGGGAGGAAGCTGGGCCTTAAATGACTTGTCTTGCTAAAAATGACACTGTTGAGGAGAGTGTGAGAGGCCCAGGCATGATGTTTGTCCTTCTGCCTGCTGGGAGCCACATCCAGCTCTCAGCCCGGCCACAGAGTCTGTGTCCTGCAGCAGCAGCCACAGAGGTTCCCGGGGTGTGCTTGGGGATGGAGACACCTCCAGAGAACCCTGCTGGGCTGGCACAGAGCGCTGTGAGCCAAAGCCCTGTGGAGCTGCTGGTTGGGACGGGCGCAGGAAACCAGCAGAGAGACCAGAAACCCAAAAACCATCCGAGAAATGAAATGCGTTCAGGAGACACCTCTCAGAGCCGACAGATCCGCCCCCGAAATGCTGGGCAAGGTGGTGCCCCAAATTTCCCCGGTGTGGCAGCACGGAGGGGCAGCGTGGGACACCCCTGCCCCTTTCCCACCCGTGGGAGCCGAGAGCCAGCGTGTCCCCCTGCTCCGTGCGGGGTCCCGGCCCCCGCCCGCCCCCGCTCCTTGTCCTGCAGTGACACCCACCGGTAACGGGCTCCTGCCGCTGCTGCAGCGTCCCCGCCCGCCTGATGTCCCCTCCTGCCTGTCCCCTCCTGCCTGTCTCCTCCTGCCTGTCCCCTCCTGGCTGTCCCCGCCTGCCTGTCCCCTCCTGCCTGTCCCCGCCTGCATGTCCCCTCCTGCTGTCCCCTCCTGCCTGTCCCCTCCTGGCTATTCCCTCCTGGCTATTCCCTCCTGGCTGTCCCCTCCTGCCTGTCCCCTCCTGCTTGTCCCCTCCTGCCTGTCCCCTCCTGCTTGTTCCCCTCCTGCCTGTTCCCCTCCCGCCTGTCCCCTCCTTGCTGTCCCCTCCTGCCTGTCCCCTCCTGCCTGTCCCCTCCTGCCTGTCCCCTCCTTGCTGTCCCCTCCTGCCTGTCCCCTCCTGCCTGTCCCCTCCTGCCTGTCCCCTCCTTGCTGTCCCCTCCTGCCTGTCCCCTCCTGCCTGTCCCCTCCTGCCTGTCCCCTCCTGGCTGTCCCCTCCTGCCTGTCCCCTGCCACATATGGGCAGAATGGAGCACATTTCTGCCTTGGGGAGTGTAGCTCTGAAACAACTTAATAAAACAATAACATTAATAGTAATAATAGTAATAATAATTTTAGTGTCGTTAGAACATGAGTAGCAGTGCATCTGTAGCTGCTGGGAGCCCCAAGAGTGGCCTAGAAGTGACATATCTGTCCCCAGGGCCTTGGCTGGGCATGGCACAATACAAAACCTGCTCTGGGAGGAGGGTTGTACCCCACAATAAAATACTCCCCAAAATCGTGCAAATCATCAGGAAGTTGGTCTAATCTGGGGACTTCCTTGTGCTTATTGGAAGGCAGGTGCTCTATTCAAGAGCAAGCCTCACCTGCCCAAACCTGTCCCTGCATGACTGATCCAAATCCTGATTCTAATCCCACTCCCATCCCTGCTGATTTTTCCAGTCCCATTCCTGATCCCAGATAAAACCTCAGCGCTGGTTCTGATCCCAGTGCAAATTTCCAACCCAAATGGGGTCTCCTGGTTGAAGAGGGAGGCCGCCAGAGCCCAAGAACCAACACAAACACTGCGAGGAGCTGCCAAACCCCACTGGGGTCTCGGCACCATTTCTCACTGGGACCATTTCCTGCACATCCACTGCTCTGCTCCAGTCCAAAGGGACGCTCGGCCCAACCTTGTGGATGGTGGGCACTGCAAAGTGACCTGTCCCCAGTCCCTGTGTCTGTGCTGGGGGGGAGCAGCAGCAGGAACCCCTCGGCAGGGGCAGGCAGGGTGAGCAATCCGCGCTGCATCCCCGAGCTGGGGGCAGACTGGGACCGCGGCTGCTGATGCTGATTTTGTTCCTGGGCTTGTCCTCCTCTAAAGTTCTTTTGTTCCGCTGGCCCCGAGCTGCAGGGCCGAGGGCAGGAGGTGCTGGGGGCCCTGCCTGCGCCTCTGCCCGACAGCTGGCAGCCGGGCTGCCCCAGGGGGGCTCTCCCCTCCTTGGTCGCCTCCAAGCTGCCGGCCAAGGGCGGCTTTGGAAGAGGGACAAACTGCAGCTGACTGGCCGGCAAGGTGGCGAACGGAAAAAAATCGAGTATTTGAGAAATAACCAGCGACATCGCTTTAAAGTGACGCAGCTTCGCGCACCCGGGTGTGGACATTTTCCTATCTCCGCGGCGAAGGTTCTATCCACGGGAAAAAACCCTAAATAAACCCTCGAGGAGACAGCAGCCAGTGTGACCGTGAGGAAGGTGGGAATCCTGTCCCTCTCCAGCCCGGGAGACCAACAGCAAACCCCCGACGGGGCGGGAGGGAGGAAAGTTGGTGTCTCCGGCAGAACCGGGCAGGACGGGGCAGCCCTGCCTGAGGCCATCGGTGTTTTATTTAAAATGCGGGTGACAGCAGAAAAAAAATCCGCTGTGAGTGCGGTCCCTTCGCAGTGGCAGCAGTAGGTACCGCCCTGGGCAGAGCCGCTCCGGCAGCTCGGGCCGGGGGACGAGGCGGCCCCGCGGACCTCTCTGCTCGGCCACAACCGATTCACAACGAAATTTGCAGCTCCGAGCCTCATCTCGGGCTCAGAGCAGCCGCCTCGGTGCTGGGGGGTTTTGGGAGGTTTCGGTGCTTCTTCTTTCTTTCTCTATTTTTTTTTCTATTTTTATTTTCCTAAATTTTTTGGTTTTAATTTTAACGCCCAGCCGAAAGAACTTTCCCTGCTCGGGAGGGACCGGCAGATCAGCTAATTGCGGGGGGAAGCGCGCAGAAAGCAGTAACCCCTCGATAACCCACCCAACCCACACCCCCCTTCCCTCCGCGGCTAATCATCCCATTAAGAGCCCCATCAGCGGGATAATGACAGCAAAAGAGGGCGGAAACCGCCCGGAAAGCGCGAGGATCCGGGCGACAATTAATTCCCGTTAATCAAGCTCCGAGGTGTCGCCTGTTGGGGAGTGACATCCCCCAAAACGCCTGGCGGCCAATGGGCGGTTTCACACGGGGCGGGTGGGGGGTGCCGGGGTCCCCCAGCCGAAGCGGCCCAAATTCAGATTTTCTCCCCGTTCTCCCCCCGGGGAGGGCGCGGCTCTCCCGCTGCTGTCCGAGGTGCTGAAGGCACCGCGGGCTCCGAAGCGACTCCGGCGCTGTCCGAGGTGCTGCGGGCTCCGGAGTGACTCCGGTTCCCCCTCCCCGGCGCTGTCCGAGTGCTGGCGGGGAAGGGGGGCGCCGCGGCGGCCCGGCGACTGGCCACCCCCTCCGCCCTCCCCTCGCCCTTCCCCATTGATTTCTGGATCATTAAGTGGTTAAGGCGCTGCGAAGCCTTCACTATCGATCGCTGCCTCCCCACCTCCGGCTGGGAGCCCCCGGGCTGCCCCCCAGCCCCGCGCCGCCGCGGCTCCGGGCACGGGTGGGGTGGCCGGGACCCCGGGTGAGGTTGGGGTCCGTCCCCCCTCACCCCACCCCCTTCGCGGCCAAAGTTTGACTCTGCCTCCCTCTCCCCCCCTCTCCTGTCTGTCTGTGAGTGCAGCTGGGCGCGATGCTGAAGACGGAGCAGTCCTGGATATAACGCGCGGCGCCTCGGAGAGCCTTGCAGCAATTGTTGCCCGGATCCCAGACTGAACTTTGTTTTTTTTTTTTTTCTCTTTTTACCTTTTTTTTTTTTTTTTTTCCTTTCGCTTTTTTGTTTTTTTCCCTCCTGTTATTGTTAATTATCATTACCAACCCGCTTCCGCCGCGCCCTCCCCGCCAATGCCCGTGTGAGCGCCGGCACCTCGCGGGGGCCATGGAGGGCTCCACCGGCTTTGGGATCGACTCCATCCTCTCGCACCGAGCCGGCAGCCCGGCCGTGCCCAAGGGGGACCCGCTGGTGGGGGACGGGCGGTCCCCGCTGGAGCTGAGCCCCCGCTCGGAGGGCAGCAGCGGCTGCCCCTCGCCCCGCTCCCCGGGCCGCGAGTGCCTGGAGCCGGCGGCGCCGCGGCCGGGCCTGGATGCGCATCTCCAGCCGGGGCAGGTCTCGGCTCCTTCGCAGTCCCGGACCGTCACCTCCTCCTTCCTCATCAGAGACATCCTGGCCGACTGCAAGCCCCTGGCCGCCTGCGCGCCTTACTCCAGCACCAATGGACCTCACGGCGGGCAGGAGCCGCCGGGAAGGATCCCCACCAAGCCCGGCGAGGATTTTAGGGAGAAAATGGAAAAAAACACCAGCAGCTCCTCCTCGGACTCGGAGTACAAAGGTAAGAGCGGCTCAGCCGGTTGGGCTGTGCGGGGCGGCCCGGGAGCCTCCCGGGGCTCCGGGATCTCGCTGTGGAGCCGAGCCCCGCTCGGTCGCTCCCGAAATGACCGAGGGGTCGGCACCGACTTGGGGAAACTTGGGGGTTCGGGGCTCGGTGGGGCTCGGCCCGCTGGAAGGGGTTGGGGCAATCGGCGCTTCATGGAACGCGCCCGGGGGATGCTCCGGGGCCGCCTTCCGCCGCAAAGATCCGGCTGTGCCGTTCTACCCGCCGGGAAAGGAGGAGCGGAGACGCATTTCTGCCTGCGGAAAAAAAAAAATTAAAAAAAATAAATAAAGAAAAACCAAAACAAACAAACCAAAATAGAACCGTAATAAAATAATCACGCATTTGCCAGGTATTTCCCCTGCTCCGGTGAGAAACGAGCAAGCCGGTCGGTGGGGCTTGATTCGATTTTTGTTATTTGGATTATTATTTTGGAAATCGTTCGAAACCGAGCAGTGCAGACAGGGAGTCCCGGGCCGCATCCCCAGCGCCGGCGGGGCGTGGGGCAGGATGCGGGGGCTGCTCGCCCCGGGCCGGGGGCTTCGGCCTCCCGGGCCCCCGCAGCCCCTTCCCGGCCTCCCCCTGCGGCAGTCGGGGCAGGGAGAGGCACAGGACCAGCCCGGCGGGATTTGGGGTCAGCCTCCCCCCTCGGAGCAGTTTATCCCGGGTGCCTTCTCCCATCCCACCCTCATCACCTCTGCGAAAAGTTTTCTCCGGGAAAACTGTTCGCCGGTTGTTTGTGAGGGAAAGGAGAGGGGATCCATCCAGCTGGGCGGAGAAAAGGGAGGTGATGGCACCTCGCGGAGCTGCTGAATTTGGGGGGATCTGCAGGAAAAAAAAGGGGGATAGGCTGAGCCCCGTCCCGGCTACAAATGCACCCTGGGCTAGCCCGGAGCCGCTGGGCTGAAATCTGATTAATGGAGGAAAAAAAAAATATTCACCCAATTAAACCTCCAAAGGCTCTGGACATCACGGGGCGATTTTCACTCCGAACGAAGCCGGAGCCCGGGCTCGGTGCCGGGGCTGGAGGTGCCCCGGGAGGCAGCACCGGCCCCACCGCTTTGCAGGGCCGGCGCTGAAAACAGCCGCGATTCCCACCTTGGGGTTTGTTCTCTCCTACCCCCGGCCCGAATTCCTGCAGCGCTTCTCCCCCGGCCCCAAATCGCCGAGACACGAAAGAAGCGAGGGGAGAGAAGAAAAGGGGGTTCTCTGCATCCCCCTGAGCCCGGCCCGGGGGTTCGGCTTTGGGTGGGGGTCATTTCTCCTGTCCCTGCGGCGGGACAGCCACGGCCACGCTGCAAATGCCGTTTAAATGGGGAAAAAAAACTCCTTTAAATTGCGAGGGAAACACCGTTTAAATAGGGCGCAAAAAAACCCCACTGCTTAAATGAAAGGAAAAAAAGATTGTCTAAGCAGAGGAAAAAAAAAAAAAACCAAAAACGAGTTTAAATAGGGAGGAAACCACAGTTTAAATGAGAGTAAAACCCCCGCATCAGTGGAGGAGCGGGTGAAGATCCTCGCTCCCAGAGCTTTCCTTTTTGAGCCGCTTGGAAATAGCCTTTCCTGGGGCAAAACGCCCCAGATTTACTCCTCAAAGAGGCTGCGAAGCTGGGCTTAACCCCCAGTTAAGCCCAAGTGGTCAAAGTGCTGGAAAAAAAACCTATTTTTTTTTCATATCTATGTATATTTTTAAATATATATTTTTTTAAGTAGGAGTAGCCAGGAGCCGATCCAGACCGAGCAGGGAAACCTCCGCCTCCGTTCCTGCGGCTCTTTGGCGAGCAGGAACTTTTTAGGAGCCGAGGATCAGCCCAGGGGCCGTGGGGATGATTTTCCTCCTCGGGATGCGAGAGGCCAGAGCCGCTTTACTCTGTGAAAAAGTCCTACAAACTTTGGGGCCGTTCCCGGGAGAGAGCGGGGCCGACCCCCCCTGCCCGGTACCGGCGGGTCGGGGCTGCCGCTGCCCCGGAACCGGCCCCGGATCCCCCGCCCAAGGATCATCCCCGGCTCCTTCTGCCTGCTCGGCAGAGCCAGGATTTCTGCTTGAAGGGTTTCACTCCCCGGTGGCTCAATTAACCGGATTATTGTCTTCCTACAGAGAGAAATCAGCTCGCGTTCGGCTCCAGCCTTGTCCCTACTCACCCCCGCCACCAACAAATTTAACATAAAGCCCTGTTATTAAAAAAAATCACAAACCCAAACGCCGCCGATTTGTATCAATCGAACCTATTTGCGCCAAAATCTCCTCCAGGAGGGTGGAGAAGGCGAACACAAGCAGGAATTTCTTTTTCCCCCTTTTATTTTTGTTGCTGCTTCGTAATTTTTCCCACCACCTTCCAACATTTTGAGGCATAAATTCCCGCATCTCTCCGCCGGCGCCTATGTACCGACCGCGCTAACGAATCGCCACCAACCGCTCTCGTTCGGCCTTTTTTAAAGATAAATAACAGCGCGGGCAGGGGTTTGCAAAGTGCTTTCCCCAGTATTTCGTTGTGCGCCCTGGAGAAGGGAGGTTTGTTGTATACCCTGGCAGCATCCCCGGGAGAGGCAGGACCAGCACGGCAACATTCCCCTCCAAAATTGTGGGCTCCCAATTTTCGTTTTTGGTTGGTTTGTTTTGGTTTAAAAAAGAAAAAAAAATAAAAAAGAGAAGGAGAAAGGTAGATAGAAAAAGAAGGAAATAAAAAATACCCAAGCACTGAGAAAGCTTTGGAGTTTGGGGGAACACGCCCAGAGGAAGGTCCTGCCCTGAGAGAAATGAGGGGTGAGGGGGATCAGGGGGGTCTGGGCGAGAGGGCGGCGGGGCCGGGCCGGGGCTTCTCTCGGCACAGTCCAACGCTCCTGCTCCGGTCCCAGGCCCTCGGAACCGGGACAAGCCGGGGGAGCCCCTGAGACCCCTCTGGCAGCCAGGGTTCAAATTTACGGGGGTGCAGAGCAAATGTGCCGCGAACCCCACTCGGAGCCCAGCCCTGCGCTGGGTCACCCTCTCCTCTGAGGGTAATTCCCTTCCTGCTCTGACCCGGCCTCTCTTCCTCCGTGTCGGCTCAGTGAAAGAAGAAGGGGACCGAGAGATCTCCAGTTCCCGGGACAGTCCCCCGGTGCGGCTGAAAAAGCCGCGCAAAGCCCGCACCGCCTTCACCGACCATCAGCTGGCCCAGCTGGAGCGCAGCTTCGAGAGGCAAAAATACCTGAGCGTGCAGGACAGGATGGAGCTGGCCGCCTCCCTCAACCTCACCGACACGCAGGTGAAAACGTGGTACCAGAACAGAAGGTAAAAATGCACCGTTCCCTCCCGGCCCGCTCCCCTCCCCGGCCGCGCACCCCCAAACCGGGCAGGGCTTCTTGCACCCCGCACCGGGACAGCGGCGATGTCCGTCCCGTCCCCGCCTCTCCCGGGGCCTTTTACCCCAAAACCAAAGGGAGAAAAGCGATGCCGAGGCAGGGCGGGTGTGGGATGGGAGGGGGCAATCCGTGCCCCCAGCCCCGCTAAGGCGGGGAGGCAGGAGCAGGCTCCCAGCTAAACACAACAGCATAACACATCGGCCCATTAATAATAGATACCAATTACTGCTTTGGGCATCAATAATTAACACCCTTTACAGTAATTACACAATTATTATTATGATGAATAATTTACCGGTGGAAATAGGTTTAGCGCTTCAGCGACAAATCTGTAAAAGGGCTGGCGACGTGGTGGCTTCGCTGGGTTTGTCCGACCATCGCCACCGCCACCAAACGAGGGACCCCGGCTGCAGCCCCCGCCCTGTCCTCTCGCTCCTTCCAGGGTTTTACCCTCCCTCCCCGGCATTTCCAGCCCCACTTCTCCATCTGTAAAGATCCCCCCACGTCGGGGGTTTGGGGAAGTTTAGGGGGGGCGGAGGACGCTGTGATCACCCCTCCACTCCCCAAATCTCTCCTGCGAGGACACGCCGGAGCCGAAACTGTGAAACTGTGCTCCCAGCCCCTTCCCCAGGCAGCCCGGCCCGCCGGCAGAGGCGAGATCCTGGGGCCGGGGCTCCTCCACGAGATCCGGCACACACACACGTGTAATATATATATATATATATATATGTGTGTATGTATATGTATATGTATATATGTATGTATGTATGTATATGTATATGTATGTATGTATGTATGTATATATACATTTTTATATATTTTAATATACCCATGCCTATACCGATATATACACATATAAAAATATACATTTACATTCACATATACATATTATGTGTGTGTGTGTGTGTGTGTATTTAGACACACACACATATAGATATAGATATAGATATATAGATATAGATATAGATATAGATGAAGATATAGATGATATATAGATATAGATATAGATATAGATATAGATATAGATATAGATATAGATATAGATATAGATATAGATATAGATATATAGATATAGATATAGATGCCGCAAACGAATTCCCCGGGACCCTGCCCCACGCCTGTCCCCCCGCGGGACTCCCGCAGCCTCCCGAGCGGCCGGGCCCGGTGCCGGCAGCCCCGGCCCGGGGAGAGGGTCCCGGGGCCGCCGCGGCCTCGGGCCGGAGCATCGCGGTGGTCGCAGCGTCCGCGCTCAGCTCGCGGTGTCATCCTCGGGTCGTGTGACAATCTGGGATTTACACCCCCAGCAAGGGACTGAATTTCTGTCGCGATTTTTATCTCCGGGATTCCCATCCCGCCATTGGGTCCCAGCCGGGCTGTGGCTCCGGTGCCTCCGGGAAAGCTCCGTGGGCGCTCACGCCGGGAACGCCAGGGAGACAAGCTCCCTCCCCCCATTAATGGGGTCTGCATCCCATCCCATTCAATCCCATCCCATCCCATCCCATCCCATCCCATCCCATCCCATCCCATCCCATCCCATCCCATCCCATCCCATCCCATCCCATCCCATCCCATCCCATCCCATCCCATCCCATCCCATCCCATCCCATCCCATCCCATCCCATCCCATCCCATCCCATCCCATCCCATCCCATCCCATCCCATCCCATCCCATCCCATCCCATCCCATCCCATCCCATCCCATCCCATCCCATCCCATCCCATCCCATCCCATCCCATCCCATCCCATCCCATCCCATCCCATCCCATCCCATCCCATCCCATCCCATCCCATCCCATCCCATCCCTGCCGTACAGGAGAGGCCGGCCCTGGGAGCCAGCGGTGGGAGCGGGGATGCTCAATGAGGGCAGAGCCCGGGGAATGGGGGTGTGCAAAGGGTAAAAAGAGCTCGGGAGCGGCTTTGGGAGCATCCCTCCCCTCCTTGACCCCTTTTCTCGACTTGCCCCCCCAGGACCAAGTGGAAAAGGCAGACGGCGGTGGGCCTGGAGCTGCTGGCTGAGGCCGGCAACTATTCAGCCCTGCAGAGGATGTTCCCCTCGCCCTACTTCTACCCGCAGAGTTTAGTCTCCAACCTGGACCCCGGCGCCGCCCTCTACCTGTACCGCGGACCCAGCGCGCCGCCCCCCGCCCTACAGAGACCCTTGGTGCCCCGCATCCTCATCCACGGACTGCAGGGCGGCAGCGAGCCCCCGCCGCCCCTGCCCCCGCTGCCCGGTGTCCTGCCCCGGGCTGCGCAGCCCCGGTGAGCCCCGGCAGCCCGGACAGCCCCGCCGGCACCCACCGGGCCGGGGGCTGCAGGGGGACACCCCACACCCCACACCTCTGGGGCCGCGAGCAAGAGACAGACTCCCGCTCATCCCCAAATATATATGTATATATATATATATAAATGAGACCACCTCCTCCTTTTTTAAAAATAATATATAAAGAACGCAAGAATCAAGGACAGGCTTGGCAGGACGGAGCCGGCAGAGCTGCCCCTCACCCCGCGGGGCACTCGCCACCTTCTTTACCCCCTTGTGCCCCCACCTCGGCATGGGACGGCGCCGGGAGCACGGGCGGGGGTCGGATGCTCCGGGGGGGCTTCGCCTCTCCGCCCCCTCCCCAGGAACAGTCCGGGGAGCCGAGCCCCACCTGCCACGGGAGACCCCTCCCCGCTTTCTCCGGCTCCCCGAGCTTGGGGTCGCGGTCCCACCGCCGGGAAGGACCGCGGGGAGACCCGGGCCGATGGCCCCAGCGAGACTTTGGGACGTTCGTAACTTAAACTTAAACTTTAAAAAAATGTAAAAAAAAAGAAAAAAAAGAAAAGAAAAAAAAAAAAGGAAAAAAGCGGTGGAATGTAAATACGGTGCAAAATGTATATGAATTATTTATTTGTGAACCCTGAGGGCGTATTTGTGTAAGTGATTCTTGTCAGTCTGTATCCCAGGGCCGGCCCGGCCGGGCGGGGGGCGCGGGGAGGGGCTCGGGGCGCCGCGGCCGCTCCCGCTCCCCCCTTTTTTAAATGTGGAAATAAAACTTCTTTACAAACAAACGGGTCTCGCCTCCGCCGGCCCCTTCTTCCCCTCCCGCTTGTTTGCTCTTGCGGAACGGCCGCCGCCGAGGGAAAGGGAAAAGCAAAGAGGAGTTTTCCCACCTCCCATCGCACGGAGCCCGCCGCTCCCCGGGGCTGGTGTCCCCCCGGTGTCCCCTCGGTGTCCCCCCGGTGTCCCCCGGTGTCCCCCCGGGGCCCGGCTCCACTGCCGGCATGCGGGACCGGCGGCGAGAGGAGCGGGGCAGTGTGATAGCCGCGACTGCGGTGAATTAATAACGCTAATCTTAAGTGTATAATTGCCTAAGTGCTCTAAATGATCGCTTTGGAAAATGGATTGTTTCCACCCTTTAAAAGTGTCGCTGGTCTGGCCGCAGCCCGGCAGCTGGTGGCCGGGACAGGCGGGCAGCGGCTCCCGGCTCGGGGAGCCGACAGATGGGCTGCGGCTCCCCCCGGCCCCGCCGCTCCCCCCGGCTGTCTGCAGACCCCCCCGGCACCCACCGACCCTCCAGATCCCCCTGCCCGGCTCCCCGGGCCGGTCCCAGCCCGGTGCCCCCGTCCCCGGAGCTTTGCCCCGGCACCGCCGAGCCCCGATTGTCGGCTCGGCCAAATGCGCAGCCACGGCTGGGGGAGAGCCCCCGGCCTTTGTGGATGGGCCCGGCTCTTTGCATGTGAATGGCGGAGTTTGGTAAATCCCCGCGCCTCGGCGGGGCGAGGAGGAGGAGGAGGAGGAGGAGGAGGAAGGGGGGTCGCTCCCAGCTCGGGGTTAATGAAGTGGGAAAGGAGTCTTTCAGAGAGGCCTGCAAACAACCCCCTCCCTGGGCAACAACCCCCGTCCCAAATCCTACATGGATTGACTTAAACCCAGGGGATAAGTGCTTTAAATTAATCTCATTGAATAAGAATGAGGCCAAACAAAACTCTTTAAAATCATATTAAAAATCTATCAAAGGACAACTTGCAGTGGGTGTGCTTTTCATTTTGTGAGCGCAAAGGCAAGGAGCATACAGCAACCTTCCTCCCATTTACACAGCAGGAATGTGAATCAAAGACATTCTCTAATATTTAATTGTCCTTGTAGCCGTAGCAGATTCCTCCTCTTACATTAATGAAGTACAAGGCTTCGTTACACTTTTGTAATTGCAATATTTAAATTTGCCATTTCACATCTGGAAGGAGCTGGAAACTCCCCTGTACCCGCAGGTCTGAGCCAGCACCGTAACACAGTGCCAGGGTGCAGTTTGTGCCACGAGGATGGCAGGAGAGAGCAGGACAGAATCCCGAGGAATCCTCTGCCCTGGGAAGGGGCATGGCTGTGCCGGGCGAGGTGCAAAGGAAAGAGCAGAGGGGACAGGAGGGCTGGAGCTGTTGCTGCCAGGGAGATCTCACAGCAGAGCCAAGCTTCAAGATAAAACAGTTTGGGGAAGGCACCACAGGCTCTAAGCAGAGAGCACCGCACTTGCCACATGAACAGCATCGCGTGTGGGAGGATCTCAGCAGCCTCAAAACCTGCTGGAGGACCAACCTCGCCTCCAGGCTGTGTGCAGGCACTGAGATGGGAGCTGTGTCCCACAGCAGAACCCAGCAGCACCGGCCCTGCACCTGCAGCAGCCCCTGAGCAGGCTGGAAATGTTTCCAGAGGACGGTGCCAGGTGGGCACAATCCTGGCAAGGCCCCAGGGGTGGGATAGGCTGTGCTGAGTTGAGCTCATATGAAGCAAAAGAATGGAGCAGTTGAGGAGCACCAGACCCAGCAGGGAAACCTTTGGGTATTGCAGCAGTTCTGCTCCATGGATTTCTCCAGGGTACAAAGCCCAGCAGAGAAGCTGCTGCTGCTGCTGTTGCTCGGGTTCTGTCAGCTCCAAGCTCTGGATCCAGAGAGTGCAGTGGTTTTTCTGGGGCCAAACACATCCTGGCTCTCAGGTTCCTTCCAGGCTTTTACCCAGCTCGAGGGCCACCTTCCTCCCCTCCTGGCACAGCTTTAAGCAGGACCAGCACCCCAGAACAGCCACAGCAAGAGCTGCTCTGCTGGACGTGCCAGCACACACAAAGTCATGGCAATCAGCAGAATTGTTTCTAGCCAAGATACTCCATGGCTTCATCTGAGCACCAAACAAAACTATGTCAGAATGCAAAGCCCAGAACAATGTTGCTTTTCCTGCCCTCTCCCAGGCTGATGGAGAAAACAAGGTGTTGTCAACAGGGAGGTTCTGCTGCTTTCTACCCTGCTTAGTCATTGTGTTCTCAGCAGTCAGGGACCAGAGCTGTGTCTTGTGTCTGACCCAGCCCCGGTGTTTAACTGTGACCCTTGCCCCAAGGTGACCTCCTTGCTTTTTCCTAATCCAAAGCCTTGCAGTGTGAACTCAAGATGCTCCAGCTGCAGAGGAGAGGAGGATGTGAGCTCCTACCACAGAGCCAGAAGAGAGCTGAGAAAACACAAGAGCATCTCCTGCAGTCTCAGGGTGTGAGAGCAGGGAAGGCAAACCCAGCTAAGCCCTGCTCTGACTCACAAGCAGCTTTGTAGGAAAGTTGCCACTATTTCCAGACCAAACCCAGGTGCTTTGGGCTGCAGGGCAGCGAGGCCCTTGTCCTCCACCACAACCCAGACACGCAAACGTGACCAAAGCCAAAACCAAAGCTGCAGTTCCACCAACGCTGCCAAACCCAGCTCTCCTCCCCTGGCAGCTGTGCAGGCAGCTCCCACCCAGCCAAGAGCCCTTCAGCACACAGCACATACCTCAGAGCAACAGGGGACAAATTCAGAATCTCAGGGCAGCAACAAGTTCAGGGCTCCATGCCACAGGACTCCACTGCCACCCCTGGCTGCTCCTCTGGCATTTGGGTGCTCAGAGGATTTGGGAATCTCTGCACACACAACACCCTGGTGCTGCAGGTGGTGATATGCAGGTGGTGGAAATGATGGAACTCCACCCTGCCCTGCCTGAATGAAAGGATGATTTGAATGAAATCGACCCCAAACCTACCAGGTTCTTCTTGATTTGAGTGATGCACAAGGGTGAAGCCAGCTCAGAGCCAATCTGGGGCTGCCCAAGTATAAATAAAGCCAGAATTGGACTCCTGCCCACCCAGCCACAATTCAAACACATTTTTCTCATCAGCCTTCAAGTTTATTAGGAGAAAGCTCAGCTTAAATTCAGGTGTGTGTGCATTTCTTTTAACACTTTCTTATTCAACAATCTCCTACTCTCTCTTTCCCTAATCCCACAAGCAATCCAGCCCTATCTGCTAAGGATGGTGAAGCTGAAAGAAAAAGCACTCTAATATTTTTTAAAAATCACTTTCTTTATCATAACCATTTGTACTGTTTCATGCCCAGTTAATGTAGGCAGCAATGAGGTCTCCTGAGGTCTCTCACCTATGTGCTGTTGGCCTTTTTTCTTACTATTATGAATTTGCCAATAGTTCCTATTAATTCCTACGTGACAGTCAGCCAGGAGAAGGTCATGTACTTTCCCTTCATGCACAAGATCATTCCCAAACTTGCACTCTCTGCATCATTCTGAGTCATTTTCATCCTCAGGGGTTTTCTTTTCTGTTTAAGTTGACATTTGCCTTAAACCTGATTGCTCTTCCAAATAGTTCTCATAACAAAATCAGGTGGGCTTTGTTGTTATTTTTAATCTAATGAATGTTTGTAACTTCATTCTCTCTGAAAAATCATGGTAAATTTGATACTGGAGCCCTTCTATCATCTTTCAGAAGTGTTGAAAAAAGTATTGCAGACAAATTGAAGTGTTTGGTAATTGCCTGTGAGGAAATAAAAATTCTGGTTTCAAAAGTTACTTTCACTTCAGCAATTAAATACTTTGGGGCTGATTGCTGCTCTCCTACAATCCTTCCTATGACTCACTACAGCCCAAAGTAGGTGCCCTCAATTCTGCATTTACAAGGCATCATTTTCATCTGTTTATACTCCCTTTTCAGTACTTTTCTTCCTTCTGACATCTGAAATTGCCACTATTTGAGCACTTTCTGCTCCTGCATTAAACATGCCTGGCTCAGGTCATGGTGGGCTGCTCTTCCTCATCCCTTTCCTTGAGGAAGACACGTGCAGGGAGCAGAAAGTCGTGGTTTGGGTTTGTGCTGTTCTCACCTGTGCCCTGCTTGGTGCTTGAGCTCTAGGAGGGGCTGGAAGGAGCAGAGGGAGGAAGGTGGAGAGGGACAGGTGGGTGCTCACCTGGAGGAGCTGGGGGAGTTGGGACATCTCCTGCAGGCTTTGGGGGCACTCTCCCACTCACAGGGCAGTTTGGGTTTCATTTCACACACCGTGGTGACCGAGTGCCAGTCTCAGCACATTGGGGTCATCCTGCATCCCTTTTCCCAGTGTCTCCAATGGGAACAAGGTGGATGGCAAATGGGAAAAGCAAGAAGTGAAATCTATCAGCTCAAAGCAGGCCCAGGCAAGGCAGAGAACCCCAAAAAGCTGGGTCATGACTGGCAAGGGTTTGCAAGAACCTGCAAAGCTTTAATGTTCAGAGAGGTGAGACATCTCATACTCCCTCTGTGTGACACAATCAGCAATGACAACACGCTGCAGGCAAGGAGAAGCTTGGAGACTGCTGGATTCCACTCTGGCTCCTTCCCACAGTGCCAATGTTTGCTCTCAGGAGCTCTGTGCCCATGAGCTCTGCCCCAAAGGGACTGTGTGTCACTGCACTGCAGGGTTCTCCACAATCCTGCCACTGGCATCACTGCAGGTGGCAATTCTAACAGTGACCAGGGACAGACCTTGCCCAGTGCACAGAGGACAGGAGAGGAGGTGGCAGCAATGTGGCTTCATGACCTGAGACAGGAGCAAAAGTGCTCTCTTTACAGGGACAGGGGACAGGACAGATTCCCCTCTCCATGGTGCTCCTGGGACACCTCCCCTGCCAAGTTTACCTGGCTGGAAACAGCAACTGAAGGCATAGTGGAGTGTTCCTTAAACAGAAAAACACCTCCTGCCTGCCCAAACTTGTCTCACTTTTATGTTGCACACACATCACGTTTCTCTGAAAATCATATTTAACCTTCTTTTATTTTTCTTGCTAAAAAACCATCTTAGGAACATGGTGCATCTTCAGGAGGCCACATTTAATTGCAGCAGTACAACAGGACACGCCTGGATTCCATTCCACTTGGACCTATGGAATGAAGGGGAGGAGGCCAAGATCCCCAGGATCCCTCCCACATTTCCTGATAAATTGAAACGTTCCTCAGTTGATTTGGCAGGTCACCCTGACCCCCGGCTGAGGCACTCCAGCAGCTTTTACAGCCAGTGACTGGAAGGGCCTGGCTTATGCTGGAATCTGCTGGTTGCCAGCTTTTCTCTGCTTTTTCTTCTTCTTCTTGACCTTGGCTCCAGCAGTGTCCATCCCACTGGAATATTCCGAGCGCAGGAGCTCAGCAAGGCGGCGTTTGCCAGGGGTCTTCTTGAGCAGCTCAGACCTGGGCAGGGGCAAGAGCAGAGGAATTCAGGAATTCAGGAATTCAGGAATTAAGAACCCCTTTCTCCTGCTGGGTGGGTTCCTGCAATGCCACTGACAATTGCACATTAGAGAAGGAGCAGTTCCCTTTCCTTGAGGCTTGATTTGAAATTCTGCCTCATGTAAAATTGGGTATTGTTGTGACAGGTTTCCACAAAAGTGGCAAAATATCAACGGCGTTTTTCAAAGCAAGCCTTTGTTCTGTACAAATGCTCTTGCAGGGTGGTGGGGAGAAGGAGGGAAGCTTGTGTGCCTGAAGGCTGATGAAGGAGGTGACACAGCGGTTTGGAAATAGTAATAATAATAATAATAATAATAATAATAATAATAATAATAATAATAATAATAATAATAATAATCTTCTAACAGCCCAGTGACATTGAACAATGGAAACATTTTATAAACAGAGCTTAAATCCAGAGCTTGAAAACACAGCCCCCTCCAAAACAAACCAGGGAAAAAATTAGCATGTCATGAGTCTAAACCCAACAGAACCAACAGATTTTCTTTTCTTGCAGTGTCCTGCAGCCATTACATGCACCTCACAGCCACCCTCTCCAGAGAATGGCTTTTGCAAGGGTAGCTGCATTTTGCATGGCCACCAAACTCCAACATGGATGTCCCTGCAGCCCTAAACTGCCAGCTATAAATATAAAAACCCACTCAGCATTTTCCCACCATGAGTTCTGCCACTGTCCTCTCTATAACCTTAGGTAAATCTCACCCTCAGTTATTTAAAATACAATCTCTTGGGTGATTACCAAGGACCAGTCATTCCCTAGCTTGTTCCCGTGGTCCTGGGCACAACAGGGTGTTGGTGTTGGCATGTCCCATTCTCCTCCTCATCAGCACAGAGTCACAGACTGGTTTGGGCTGGGAGGGGCTCTAAACATCATCTCATTCCTTTCTCTAGACCAGGTCTAACCTGAGCCCCTTCCAGCCTGGCCTTGAACACCTCCAGGGTGCACTTCTCTGAGCAAGTTCCAGTAAGGACCTGTCTCTCAAGTGTTTCCAGAAAAACAGAACAGAAACCTGTCTGTCCCTCTGCACACGAGGCAGCTGAACTGAACAGCAGCCCCACAGCCACGCCAGCAAGCTTTGGTGACAACACAGGGACTCAGCAGTCCTAAAGGTGACACTCAAAGTGCCCTCAGGTGTCCAAACCCACGCTGGGTGTTGAAGAGAAGGAAGAAATTCTGGCTGCAGCAATGGATCAAGGCATTCAACAGCCCAAACACACAGGGCAGACAAGAGAAGTGAACTCCTGGCTGCCTGGGGTGTTTGCTTGCTCCCTTCCCACAGCCTGTGCAGGTGTATCCTCTGCTCAGCCCCCTCCACCAGTGGGTGAAGTTCCTATTTGACACTTTGATTGTTGTCTCCAAGCATTTCCTACAGTAATTCCTGGGTTTCCAAGCAACAGACCAGTTTATTTACAACAGGGAACTCTCTGCTGCAGGAGGACAAGGAATCCACCAGTGGCTGCAGGGCTGAGCTGCAGCTCAGCAGGGAGGTTGTCCAACACTTTATTATCAATCAGGTGAAATTGCTGCCCAATTAGTAAATCAATACTCCCTGCTGAGGTGATCAGCTGTGCACAGAAAAGCAGGGATGCAGGGAAAAGGGAGCTTTCTCCCTCTAACCCAGGGCCACAAAAATCAATGGAGTTGTGCTGTGGAACCTGTGCTCATCACAGAAGAAAAGCAGCTGTCAGGGCCCCGTGTAACCATGAGATGGAAGAGCTACAGGGAACAGCACCAGCCTGCAGTGACAGCACACCAGGAAACAGCACCAGGTCAGGAGCCCTGATTCCTGCTGTAAAGCTGAAAATTCCCCTCTCTGCCCAACTGGTGACAGTCTCTGGGGCTCTGCCAGAGCAGCAAGATAACCACAGGGCACCTTCCCTCACCCAGGTTATGAGACAAAGCCCAGGAGAACTCAGCAAGACCTTAACACTCACCCCTGAGCATCCTTGGGCAAGGTTTTCAATCTCTTTGGCCTCCATGTCCACTCTCCCAGCTCCCTGTGCTTTCCCTGTTGCTGAGGGCTGGTGGGGTGTTAATTTAAGGGAGCTGTGTGGTGATGCTGTGGCAAAAAGCTTCACAGGAAGGCTGTAAATGTAAAGGTGCATTTGCAACACAGACAGAACCCATGTTCCCATCACTGAAAAAACACATGGATGATGAGCATCTCTTGCTGTGATCTCACGTCTAGGTATCATGGTATACTGAGACAGAGGAAGGAATAAAAGACCCAGTTTCAGAGCTGCCTGTGCACATCTATAATTAAGCTGCAACCTCACAAAAGCTGGTACCAATAACCTCAGCAGAGAGACAATAAGGAAAAAGAGGAACTGTCCCCAGATGACTTTGTTATCTCCTGAAAGGCTGGAAAAGACCAGGCCAAAGTTTTAAAGACAAGAAAAAAAAAATATCTGTTCTCCTCAAGAAAACTGTGATTATTTTATTCACTGTTTAAACATGAGAAACTTGTGAATCTTGCTAAATACACCACTGAATGATGAAAAGGCAGGAGAGGAACATCTGGAAGAGAAAGTGTGCAGTGAAGGAAAGAGTAAAATCCTTCTTTGCTCCAGTTCCCTCCTACAGCCACTTACAGAGCTGTTCCCAGCCTGCTGCTCCCCTTCCCCACCTGGGAGCCACAGTGATCTTTAGGGATGCTGCTGCTGCCCAACCCTCCATCTCTGAGGAAATCTGAATGGTTTGGACTGATCTCCTTCTCTGGGACTTGTTTTCTGGCTCAGAAGATGCCTCTGCTCATCTTTTCATTCAGTGGTGAGTGAGCTTGTTCTTGGAGGTGTCTCTCAACCTGGCTGGCATCACTGCCTGTTCCTTTGTCTTGCTGTGCGAGATGCTGCTGCAATGCAGTGCACAGGTGTAGTGACCTTTAACCAACTCCCAGCATCTGCAGCATCCAAAAGCTCCCAAATTGCTCCAGCTGAGGAAGGAGGAGTGTGGTAAGCACACTGAGGATGAAGTTCTGACACACAGTCCCAGAACTCACGGTGTGTCTTTGGAGGAGACCCGAGGAGGCCGTTCCATTTATCAGAAAACATTTCAACGTGGATTGCACTATCAATCTGCCTGACAGCATCTCCAACAGCTCCTTGACACTGTGCCAGCAGCAGAGCTGGGTTACCTCTGGGCCAAGGCTGCTGCAACACCTGCTTTTCCTACTTATAGCATTGGATGAACCATCTGCAGCCAATGCAACCCTGTTTGGGTTGGTTTTGCTGTTGTTGTTTTTGCAGAGTGGGGGCAAGAAATCCATCAGCAATCCTACACTGCTCTCGACAGGTCAACAGATGGCCCAGGTCCTCTGCTCCCAGCTGATGCAGATGCTTGAGGAGATCAAGGAAAATTATTACCCAGCCAGAACGAGCACCAAGCCTGTTCCAAAATGCTCTCAGGGTCTCCACACTGGGATGTGCTGAACTGCAAAGCCCACCTTGCCCTACTGAAGTCATTTCAGCCACACAGAAATCCCAGTCTCACTTTCACAGCCATCCCTTGGTCTTCACCCTTTGGGAAAAGGACATGGGAGGCTGGGAACCTCCCAGGATTCTTGCTTCTGTCAGGCACTTTCCCAGCCTAGAGAACAGACTACATTTCAATTACAGAGAGATGACAATTTTTGGTGCACAGCCCCCAGCACAGAGGTTTTCCAGCTCTGTGTGCAAGCACTGTTAGCTTGATTAGAGATGGAGCAAAAGCTCTGTGCTGCAGCCACAGTGGAACAGGACAGTAATAAAGGGCACTGCTGTATGCAGGAAACAATCAGATGGATTTTACAACTATAAAACTTTAATTTCATATGAGGATTTCTTTTATAACATTGTGATGTGGTAGCCAGGACTCACCTGTATCCCTGAACTGCCTTAATGAAGAGTGATGGTGCTGTTTCCTTTCCCAGCAGCCATGTCCCTTACTCTCATTTTTGGCTCCATTTGCCCATGGACACATGCCCTTACCTGAGCTCCAGTTTGGCTGTATAGAGCAGACTGCCCAAAGTGAAATTCCCAGTGGACAGAATTCCAAAGCTGCATTTTGACTAATTAAGTGGTATCAGGAAAGCTCTAAATGTGCACATAAAAATTGGCAAGCAAAGTGCTTCTAATGATGAGACAATTGCTGTGCAGGGAGGCCCAGCTGCAGCCTTGAGTCACAAGCCCTGGATTTTTTCAAAATTGTCAATGCCAAGATGTTCAAAAGTGGAACCAAGGATGTGAGGTGGGAGAGAAGATAAAATGCCACAAGGAAACTGCTGCCCTGGCCATGGGGAGGACACAGGGCTACAAGGTCTGTTTCTCAGGAATTGTCTGATTCTCTCTGACCATGCTGAAGAATGAATTAACACAATGATCCTGCAGCCAAAGCCTTCAGGCCATGCCCATCTCCACATCAGAGCAATGGCACTGTGATAATGATGTACAGCAGTGCTCTCAAACACCTCTTCCTGATCCCATTTCACTTGAATCAGCTCAGACCTGGGCAGGGGGAAAAGCAGGGGAATTCAGGAATTAAGAACCCCTCCTCTTGCTGGGTGGGTTCCTGAAACCCACCTGAAACTCTGAAGCACGAGGGGATTTTCACCTTTGTTTTTATATCACTTTTTGTATATGCTGTAGCAATTCTTGATACTCATAAGTAAATTCAATCCTTCTGAGCATTTCTTGCATCAGAAATTCCTGTAGCAGGGAATTCCACAGAATCAGCTGAACTAAAGAGTCATCTTTCTTTGTGATGGCTTGAGCTCACAAAAAAGCCAAATTAAGTTGCAAGTGCTCACTGCAGTGAAAGCCTTTGGGGGCACACACTGGCTTTCCTGATTTCAAAGGGATTTCAGAGGGAAAGCAGACCCTCAGTTGATCCAGAATGCAAAAGGCTGAGCAGCACAGGGATGCACAGTGGAATGGCAGTGGGTCTTTGTGCATTGTGAAGGAGTCAGAAGACAAGTCTATCTGGCCTGTCAGCCACTTCCTCAGCGTGCTTCGACTCCACAGCGAAGCAAGGACAGCTAATCCCCCACTGGAGGTGGGATCAGCTTCCTTGCCTCCACCCTGCAGCCAAAGCATGAGCCCAGACACTGACTAAGCTGATGTACTGTAATTCAATATGCAGTATCTGGTTCGTGTGCTCATCTCTCACCTCAACACAGCATTGCAACTTTCAAAAAAACATTGCCAGCAATTATTTTTCCGTCTTCAGATCGGGTTTTGCAAGATCCACTACAGCTAAAGGGACAGCTGGTTTGCACAAAGACCTCTGAAAAATGCATGGAAGTTGACATGGGCATTGAGGAGAGGGCTGCTCCCACATTTCAGCACTGAAACATCACACACCTGGCTGCTCCCTCTCACTGTCTCACCTTCCCCGAGCAGGCTCTCCAAGGAGGCGCCAAGCACAAAAGGAGACTTCAAAAGAAATGAAAAGTTTTCTTTGTCCTCTTAAGGAAACATTTAATGATTGCCTTTACCCCACTTTCAACCTGGAGTGCCTGCTCTTTATTCTCTAGGCAGGTGCTGAGAGATGAGGCTTTAGTGAGCAGCCTGATTAAAAACCAGTATCAGATGTTGGGAGACAATGTGTAATACGACAACCAACACTCACAGCATCATGTGAGAAATATAATTAAAAAGATTGATCTGTGACTGTGCTGTTATAATTTCAAGCCTTGCATTTTACAATTAGAAACCATTTGTCTTCTAAATGGCAGGCTAAGTTTTGCTTTCTGCTTTGTCAGTGTGAAATCAAAAGCAATTCTCTAAGTTAATAGCATAATCTTGGATTTATGCAAGTGCAGACTGAATTTGAACCCATTTTCACTTTCTCTAAACTATCCTATAAATACTAATATACCCTCTCCCTTTATTTATTTATTTTTTAAGCACACACAGAGGAAGCTGATTAAAGCCAAGTTTCACAGGCAGGAATAATTGTTGCACATCACAACTTTGGCTATTTTTTGCGGGGTCTTAACTTTGCAGATGCCCTCGGATTTGAAATCTGGAGCTTGAGCTGTGACAGAGCTGTGCAAAGTTTACCTACTTTCCCTGAGGTGCAATTCTGTGATCCACGTGCAAATGAGCTCTCAAATCACTCCCAGACCATTTGTTCCAACACCTCTACATCCCCCAACCCCACACGTCCTGTGTGTAAATACCTACTGTATCTTGAGCTTGTCTGTGCTATAATGGGATGAGGACTTGGGGAGGAGGAACCCCCATCTAAAAGAGGTTTGTAACAAGGGAAAAAGTAGCTCTAACAGAGTAGCAACATCACAGGAACAGAGAGAGGCATTGTTACAGGCCAAGTAATCCTGTGACACGCTACTGTCAGTCATAGCTTGACACCCTGCTGGGCCAGCAAGACATCAAAGCCCACCCCATACCATCTTACATGCTCTTTATCAGCTAATCAGGCTATTCTTCCCGAAATAAAGCTCCCTTAAATCCCCTGCTCACAGGGGCATTCCCATCCTGTTGCCCATCTGCTGAGGAGGGTCAGCTGGAGCAGGAGGCAGAGCAGTGGCCTGTCCCTGGTGGCTGCTGCAAGCAGGACAATGCAGGCTCCAACTTTTTATTTTCAAATCCCTTCCCCTTGCATTTTTTTTTTTTTTTTTCTTTTCACGGGATAGGTGCATGTGCAAGAGAAGTGCCCAGCCCTGGAACAATTAAGTGGATTAGTGCTTTAATTGCATGGCTAAGGGTTGCTAATGGGGTTTGTAGCAACAATTACATGGAGAGAGTCACAATTGATGCTCATAAAGAAAAAAGATTTTCCTCCTTTGAATGATTGCACTGATTTTACTGGCAAGGCAGAGGTTTGGATGCTGCCATTGCACTGGGGAAGAGAGTGTGTCCTCAGCGCTGTAATCCCAAAAGAGAGGATCATCTGTCCTGTGGAAGCAACTCAGAGCAGCCAGGATCAGAGGCACTGAGCACCTTCAGCTCCCTTGCAGGCACAGAAAAGGGTTCAGGGATCCTACAGCAGCATCAGGGAGTCTCCAACTCCTTACACAGAACAGCCCTGAGCACACACCAGAGGGGACAGAGCTGCAGCTCTGGGCTTGCTGCAGACTATTCTCAGGAGAGATCCCACAGGATCATTTCTATCAACAGATCTGCCTTTTTTATACTCGATTCCTGGAGAAAGCCCAACCACCTTGAGGAGCAAAGCACTGCACAGCTCAGGAACATCAGACTGACCTACCTTTTTAGTCTTGGTTTGGTTTTCCTCTTTGAGCCTGCAGTTGGAAGAGCAGTCAGGTTTTGGGGGGCGTCTCTCAGCCCAAAGCTCTTGGCCACATGACCAAGGTGGAGAGATTTGATGTGGAAGATGTGCTTGAGGTCCTTGGGATAGGTGGTATAGGCACAAAGGAAAGACTGCAGTGCTGAGGG